ATTCTAGAATAAGTTTAGATTTTCTCGAATTGGACCTTTGGCACAAGTTATTGCCTCCAAGCGGTCACACGCTGCCGAGTGCTGCTCTGCGTTATTTTGACCCATTCCCGACGAAGCGCTTGCTTGAGGTGATCGACGCTTTGGTATTTGTTAGTGCCAACCTTGCTTTCCAAAATACTCCAGACACAATAGTCCTACGGATTGGTATCCGGTGCTTTTGGTAGCTATTGTGGGCTGGAAATGAATCGAGGAACCTCATTTTGTAACCATTCTTGGGTGGCGCGTGCTGAGTCCTGTTGGAATGTCCAAGGTCTGCGGCTAAAAAGTTTGCGTGCCCAAGGCTTTAATACACCCTCCAGAATATTTTCGCGATAATATTCGGACAAGCTGCTTAGAAATGATTGCAGTTTTTTCATATCACCCTGTATATGTAAAAGAAATATATCTTAGTTATTCCGCTTATATGCCAAGAGCCGCTGATTTTCACAATTCTCATCAAATCGGGATGGTTTCTTGTCAGAAGACGATAAGATCTACGAAAATCGCCAAAATATGCCAATAAAAAGTGACTGTTTCTGCTGCATATTTTAATTTTTGTCATATTTACATGCGATTTTTTCAATTAACTTACAATTTTGAATTGCTTATTTTCAAAATTTTTCTACACCCCGCAGCACAATTGTCACCTGATCCTCAAGAAATTTTGCATTGTTGTAGGGTTAGGCTCAGAATTAAAGCCTATTGTTCTTAAGATATACATTTAGGTTCAAAGGAACAAAAAATTTTTTTCTAATTTTGTAGTCGCTCTGTGGGTCACAATTGAAAACCAAGCACATAAGGACAGGAAAGAAGTGTAGCATTTTGGATGACCATTGGATTATAATTAACTGTAAAATTTACAACAATTTTCGTGTGAAATAGTTCTGAATATCTAAAAAGACGACGGAATGCGTAAATATTGGTCAAATTCCCCGGGTCAAAAACCTAAAGGTATCATCTGGGCAGGGATCTTTGACATAATTTCAAAAACGAAATCTTCTAAAATGGATTTAGACATAAGGGGACTTCGAATATATTGTAGTATTGTAGGGTATCGCATGGTCGGCCCGCACGACTATAGCCTTTCTTACTTGTTTTTTTTTTATAAAAATCGCACTTAAAATCAATCAATTACTGACCATGTAGAAAATGCGCTATAAAAACTCATTAATTATGCATTTGTCAAAAGTGTACGTTTGCCTATCAAAAGTGGCGCACATGATATATTTTCCTTTGCCACTAACATTAAGGAAATTATACTGCGACCCGCTGCTTGTTAATTCATAATTCCTACGTATTGTAACGTAATTGAATTCTAATATTTTCGGAAGCACTTCATTGCAAGTACCACCATACATGGTATTTATATGAACCTTGCTTGCGATAATATCTTTATTCACGCTGTGTTTTCCCCCAGAAAAAAAACAGCAAATGTTACGGTTATATCGGAAGGAAGTTTGATAAGAAAATAGCGTGATATTTATAATTTCATGTTCATGGTTTCACGAATATTAGGTGAAAATGTTAACACGCCATGAGCGAGTGTACCTACACATACATACATACATACATCAGCCGTGTGTACGAGTACACAACAAATAAATGTGTTGCCAATAACGACAACAACCGTGGCTGGCGTATGAGTGTTAACAAATGTTTAAAAATAAATCATACTTCATAATGGACACTGACATGAAACGAACGAAACAAAAAACAGGCTTGTGGTGGTGATGGTGCTGGTGGGTAACTGCCTTAAATGCCACTGCTTAAAATATTGTTTAGCTTATTATTAATTAAATTACTAGTATGTGTACGTGTATTTGTTTATGTGTCGGTGTAATAGGCGTGCGGATGGGAATTGTGTGTTTTCGTGCAACAGAAGTGAATTTTGTTCGTTTAATCTTTACTACCAAGAATCACAGTTAATTTGGATGTTCATAAATGATGTTATTCACAGAACTTTGTAATAATGCGGAATTTCGTTGTAATATCATAATTACACAGACAAACCGCAAATTATATTTAACACTAGGAATTTTCTCACAGAAACTTGAACGAATGGTAAATGAAAAATAATAAACAACAATTTACACTAATTTCACTTGAACCTTTTTTTAAATGTTGCACAAATTCCTATTAAAAACGAAGTAGGCTTAAATTAAATATGTGAATTATATACAAATAAGTAAATGCCCTGATTCGCCAGAAAAGATAATATTTGAGGAAACATAATTCTTAATTGGCCAAAATGTGTTCCTAGCCATATTCTAGCCTCGGGGTTTCGCTCGGGCGTTGATATACATGGTGAGATGAAAAAACTGCTACCAACTTCAGACTGCTGTCATTTCTAAGCCTCTCGTCCGACAGCTGTTAATATTATTCCAATGACAGCTCATTATATTGTTTACAAGCGTACAAAAGCATTTTGGTAAGAATTTTCCCGAGAGACTTGTGGTTTTCCAGCCAAATATAAAGAAATCACACTATCACGCTTGAAATCCATCACGAATAACAAGCGTGATAGTGTGATTTCTTTATATTTGGCTGAAAAACCACAAGTGGCAATCGTCAGAGCAATCCAGCATTCAAATGTGAATGAATCTTTTGTGTCTCGTACCATCGCTCGTTACCATGATACTGCTAGCGTAGCCCTATGAAGTGGATGGAAACGACGTCTAGGAAGTGGATGGAAAAAAACAGCAACATCAGCAGAAATGGTTCGAAAAGTAAAGAAGCGACTTGATCGAAACCCGCATCGCAGTTAACGAAATATGGCTCGTGAGCTGAATATTTCGCAATATTCCATTCGGCAAATATTGAATATGAGTACGGGGTAAAGCCATTGAAATTCCAAAAAAAAAAAGCCTATGAAATTCCGGAAAGAAAATAGACTCAAAAGTGCTAAAGAGTTGCTTCGCTTGACCTAAAGTGGTGAACTGTCGAATTTGGTTTTTTCCCATGAGAAAACATTCGCTGTCCAGCAGTTTGTAAACAAACAAACAGTTAACGAAATATGGCTCGTGAGCTGAACATATCGTAATATTCCATTCGGCAAATATTGAATATGAGTTCGGGGTAAATCCATTGAAATTCCAAAAAAAAAAAAAATCCAAAATCCATTGAAATTCCAGAAAGAAAATAGACTCAAAAGTTCTAAAGAGTTGCTTCGCTTGACTTAAAGTGGTGACCTGTCGAATTTGGTGTTCTCCGATGAGAAAACATTCGCTGTCCAGCAGTTTGTAAACAAACAAAACGATCGTGGTTACTTGCCAAAGAGGTCAGCTGAAAATGTGCACCTTCGGTTGGTCACCATAACTCAAGCGCCGGCCATGGTGTTGGTGTGGGCCGCCATAACAGCCGATGGTCGCTCTCCGCTCGTATTCGTCCGTGGCATCAGAATAAATGCGTAAATTATCGCGAAAATATTCTGGAAGGGGTATTAAAGTCTTGGGCACGCAAACATTTGGCCGCAGACCTTGGACATTCCATCAGGACTTGGACAGCAACGCACTCAGCACGTGCCACCCAAGAATGGTTACAAAATGAATGAGGTTCCTCACTCCATTTCCAGCGCACAATGGCCACCAAAATCTCCGGATACTAATCCGTTGGACTATTGTGTTTGGAGTATTTTGGAAAGCAAGGTTGGCACTACAAAATACCAAAGTGTCGATCGCCTCATGCAAGCGCTTCGCCGGTCGTCAGGGAAGTGGACGGAAGAAAACAGCAACATCAGCAGTAATGGTTTGAAAAGTAAAGAAGCGACTTGATCGAAACCCGCATCGCAGTTAACAAAATATGGCTCGTGAGCTGAACATATCGCAATATTCTATTCGGCAAATATTAAAAAATGAGCTCTGGGTAAAGCCATTGAAATTCCAAAAAGTGCAAGAACTTACACCTCAACAGAAAGAAAATAGATTCAGAAGAGCTAAAGAGTTGCTTCGTGTTTACTTGCCAAAGAGGTCAGCTGAAAATGTGCAACTTCGGTTGGCCGCCAGAACTCAAGCGCCGGCCAAGGTGTTGGTGTGGGCCGCCATAACAGCCGATGGTCGCTCTCCGCTCGTATTCGACCGTGGCATCAGAATAAATGCGTAAATTATCGCGAAAATATTCTGGAAGGGGTATTAAAGCCTTGGGCACGCAAACATTTTGGCCGCAGACCTTGGACATTCAATCAGGACTTGGACAGCAACGCACTCAGCACGCGCCACCAAGAATGGTTACAAGATGAGGTTCCTCGCGCCATTTCCAGCGCACAATGGTCACCAAAATCTCCAGATACCAATCCGTTGGATCTATGTGTCTCTAGTATTTTGGAAAGCAAGTTTGGCACTAAAAAATACCAAAGTGTCGATCATCTCAAGCAAAAGCTTCGCCGGATATGGGCCAAAATACCGCATAGCAACATTCGGGCAGCGTGGGCGGTTTCATTGCCCGTTTGAAGACCAAAATTCGTGCCAAAGGTGAAAATGAGGTTCCTCGCTCCATTTCCAGCGCACAATGGCCACCAAAATCTCTGGATACCAATCCGTTGGACTATTGTGTCTGGAGTATTTTGGAAAGCAAGGTTGGCACTAAAAATACCAAAGTGTCGATCACCTCAAGCAAACGTTTCACCGGGAATGGGCCAACATACCGCAGAGCAACATTCGGGCGGCGTGTGACGGTTTCATTGCACGTTTGAAGACCAAAATTCGTGCCAAAGGTGACAAATTCGAACAAATCTATACTTATTCTAAAATTTGATGCTATTTCCGAATTTTTTTGCTTTCATTCTATAAAATTAAAGAAAAACAAAATGTAAAAATTATGCCGTTTGACTTTGTTGCAGTTTTTTCATCTCAGCCTGTATTTGTTAGTCAGTTATCACTAAGTTCTTTCGTTTTATAAAGTTGAAGATACAAATAATCTTGATTGCTTAACAAATATTTATTTCATAAATCTTTTTCACATTTCAGAGCAATGTAATGCCGATGTCACCGTTTCATTCAATGCAATACAAATGTACGATGAAACCACATACAGAACAACGCTGCCAACATACACGCCACCACCGTGGATAGAACCATATGTCGATCCGACAACTCCACGCAACGTGACAGCGTTAATGGGAAAGACAGCATATTTAAATTGTCGTGTAATTAATTTGGGAAATAAAACAGTAAGTCATTACCAAAATAGAAATTTCTAGGAATTGAATTTCCACAGAACGATTTTTATAAATACTTGAAGACATTTTATTTTTATCGCCCATTAAATATTCCACGAAAATGTTTTTAAAATTCGTTTTCCCTTTTAAGGTTTCATGGATACGACATCGTGATTCGCATATCCTTACCGTGGGCACATACACCTATACATCAGATTTGCGTTTCCAAGCTTTACATTTTAGCGACATTGGCGATTGGACGCTACAAATCAAATGGGTACAAAAACGTGATGCCGGCACATATGAATGCCAGATATCTACACAGCCAGCCAGGAGTTATTTTATACACTTGAATATTGTGGGTAAGTTCAGAAAGTAATTAGGGAAATCTATATTAATATTAGAGTAAAGTAGTTGACTGACAGAAGTAACGATTCATCAACGCCCAGACGAAACGGCTGAAACTTGGAAATAAGATAAGATTTTGGAAATTCGTACCAATGTGTACTAAATGTGGTACAATATAAATTTTGGGAGGATCGACAGAGTTGGAATTTCCTGTAGAAGTGTAGGATTGGGATATGGAGGTTAAACCGATATAGCTGGTATCCTGAATTTTGTAATTAAAGATTAAGATATGTGGGACATTTGGGCGAATCGATATTTTGGATTCCTGATGAATCCCGGATTGGGGTTACTGTGGAAGTGTAGGATGGGGATTTAAGCTCTGAAAAATCCGTACATAAGTATACTAAATGATATTAAATTTAATACAATTTGGATTTGTGTTAATCTATAGGGCTTGAATCCTGAAATTTGGAATTACGATAAGAGTAGTAAAATAACTGACTGACTGACCAAGAATTGAGACACAGCTAAAGCTAAAATCTTGAAATTTTGCACGAGGGTGATTCATGGTGCGTAGTCGTGTGATATAGATGGAGTTTTGGAAATTCGTACTAAAAGGATACGAAAAGTACTAAAATATATTGAAAATTGCTTACTTTGTTTTGGACAAACAGAATGAATTTGAATTCGGAAATTTGGAATGAAAGCCACATTGTAGGTGCAGCATAGATGTACCAAAGTGATCTTGGAAATTCGAACTTTTATGAATAGTTCTAAAATGATACTAAACTTCTATAATGATACCATTTGGTATTATGTGAACGGATAGAGGTAGAAACTTAATATTCAGTATGGGAATAAAGGTTGGAATGCAAGTTTCATATACAGGGTGAAATAAAAAAAAACTGCAACAAAGTCAAACGCCACAACTTTTACATTTTTTTAATTCTATTGAATGGAAGCAAAATATGTCGGATATAGTTTCAGATTTTAGAATAAGTTTAGATTTGTTCGAATTGGTCACCTTTGGCACGAATTATGGCCTTCAAACGTCCAATAAAACTATCACACGCTGCCCAAATGTTGTTCTGCGGTATTTTGGCCCATTCTCGGCGATGCGCTTGCTTCAGGTGATCGACACTTTGGTATTTTTTAGAGCCAACCTTGTTTTCCAAAATACTCCAGACACAATAGTCCAACAGATTGGTATACGGAGATTTTGGTGGCCATTGTGCGCTGGAAATGAAGTGAGGAACCTCATTTTGTAACCATTCTGCTCAGTGCGCTGGTGCTGAGTCCTGTTGGAATGTCCAAGGTCTGCGGCCAAAATGTTTGAGTGCCCAAGGCTTCAATACACAATCCAGAATATTTTCGCGATAATAGTCGGCATTTATTCTAAAGCCACGGTCGATTAATACGAGCGGAGAGAGACAGTCGGCTGTTATGGCGGCCCACACCATCACCAAGGCCGGCGCTTGAGTTCTGGTGGCCAACCGAAGGTGCACATTTTCAGCTGACCTCTTTGGCAAGTAAACACGATCACTTTGTTTGTTTATAAACTACTGGACAATGAATGTTTTCTCAACGGAGAAAACCAAATTCTACAGTTCACCACTTTCGGCCAAGCGAAGCAACAACGAATGTTTTTTCATCGGAGAAAACAAAATTCAGCAGTTCACCACTTTCGGCCAAGCGAAGCAACTCTTTAGCTTTTTTGAGTCAATTTTCTTTCCGTTGCGGAATAAGTTATTGTACTTTTTGGAATTTCAATGGCTTTATCCCGAGCTCATGTTTCAATATTTGCGAATGGAATATTGCGATCGGTCAGCACACGAGCCATTTTTCGGAAATTCGACGCGGGTGTCGATCAAGTCGCTTCTTTACTTTCCGAACCATTTCTGCTGCTGTTGCTGTTTTTCCGTACACTTCCTTGACGTCGGGCCACGCTACCAGTATCACGATAACGAGCGATTGTACGGGACAAAACAGATTTATTCACATTTAAATGCTGGAGTGCTCTTACGATAGCCACTTGTGGTTTTCCTGCCAAGTATAAAGAAATCACACTATCACGCTTGAATTGCATTACGAATATCTTTATTTCTGGAAAATTCTCACCAAAATGCTTTTGTACGCTTGTAAACAATATAATAAGCTGTCACTGGAATTATTTTAACAGCTGTCGGACGAGTGTCTTAGAAATGAAAGCAGCTCATACTGTATGTAAAATAAATATACAGGGTTGCCCACATTCGACGGACCTTTGGGTCTTTTGGACCCATTCCAATCGACGAGGCTTGTACGGGAACAAATGCAAATCAATGCGAATAATCCGTTGTAAAGTGGACCGAGCCATACCCAACTGCTGAGAACGGCGTTTCTGAGATGTTCTTGGGGACCTCTCAACACTGGCTCGTACGGCAGCGATATTCTCGGCCGATCGCCTTGGTCGACTTTTATATGGCCTCTTGGGATTAGAAAGAGCCTTACCAGTCGAAAATTTTTCGTATAAACGCTTAATGGTGTTCTTAGAAGGCGCACTTCTCACATTTTTTAACGTTTTATAAGCACGTTGAGTTTTCTTGTAAATTTCAACTATTTCAGAGCGCTCGCGTTGCGTGTATTGGTTCATGGTAAAAATCTGCTTGGACTGACGCTTCAAACGCGGTATGTCATTAAGCGATGTGACATCTCTGTCAAAAGTTATGGCGTTGCCAGATGGGTCCGTCGAATATGGGCAACCCTGTATCTTACTTATTCTGCCTATAAGTCAAGAACCGCTGGACAATTCTCATCAATTTAGAATGGTCTGTTCCCAGAAGGGGATAGAATGTAAGAAAATCACGTAAAATTATTTTGTAAAGTTTTTCTACACCCCACAACACTATATGTTGAGGGTATTATATACAGGTCGCAATTATCGTAAGATCTTCGCGAAAATTTTCCTGAGTATGTAAATTTAGGGGTTCAATTGACCAAAAATAAACTAAATTTTTCCCGATATTGAAGTCGCTCTACAGGCCACAGTTGAAAACCAATCGACACGGAATTTAGCATGAGAAGAGAGTTAAGGACAAGGAAGAAGTCTATAATTTTGGAGGGAGTTAGTAAATATTCTGTAAATGCCCCCAATCAAAAAGCTCAGGGTGACATCTGGACAGGGTTCTATGACATTTCAAAAGCGAAATCTTCCAAATTCGATTTTTACATAAGGGGGTTTTCAATATATTGTAGTGTTATAGGGTATAACATAGTCGGTATATATCTGGGTACACTTTGGCAAATTATTGGGTATAGGTTACGTTTTTCCAACCGACATGGCCGAACAAACGGGTCCCCTTTCAAAGTCAAATATGGTAAGCAGATTTGTTAATCTTAGCTCGTTTACCCTTAAAATAATGAATCTAGAATGAAAGGCATGAAATTTAAAACACTAAATTCAGCGATTTCTGTGAATTGGATACAGCCGCCATTGTATTGAGGTTTGATAATCTAGAAAATTTGGGGCTCCTATTGCTTTTTCTGTACATTTCAAGTCTCTTGTATTTCGAATAGAGTTCGCAAATTTGTACAGAATTTTACTAAAAGTTTATAGACTCGAAATTCAAATGTAAGCCGTAAATAAATAACACAACAATGTTTTCAATTGTCCTATACACAAAAAACTATCTTCTTGTGTGCCTTCTTTTTTAATTTTTTTTCCAGTGATAAAGAAACAAGTTTTATTTCTCTGACAGCTCTGGCTCTAACTTAAATTTATGTAGTACCCATATAACGATTACCGTCTGGTCAAACCAGAAAAAATTCAATTGAATTTATCTATGAAATATTTTACGGAATTTATTACATCTTTAAATATTTATAACCCTTAGCAGACAAAACAAGAAAACACCAAAATAGACTTAACAATTTTTTTTGATATACCAAAAAATTCCCATAAAATTTTTCTTACTTTTCTTTTCTATGTACGTTCGCTATGCTAATTTCGGCATCTAAAATGGACTGTTGAATGAAATATCAAAAACAAATAACAACAAAAACATCAACAACAACATCCCAACGTAAACATCATTTCAACCATAATGTGTTAACAGTGCCAACGGCCAGCATCTATGGCGGTCCTGACCTTTATGTCGACAAAGGTAGCACCATAAATCTTACATGCACCGTAAAATTTTGCCTTGAGCCACCTGCCTACGTATTTTGGTATCATCACGAAGAGGTAATTTATGTTTACGTATTTATTCACTCTCCTTTTTTATATCTGACCTATTGTAATGCCATTATCGTAATCATCATCAACAAGAGAGATTTTTTTTAAACATAATTATTCGATTAAAAGTGATACTTTTTTTGGAAGAGATAATATCTGAGGGTATTGAAATGTGATATTGGTGAAATTTTTATAACCTTCTTGGGAACAATAAATTGGTTTTAGTTCAAAAGTTTGTTATTTATTTAGCTAAAAAATATCGTCCGTATCTCACACTGCTTGTGTCTTTCATTTTCAGTTTCAACAAATCTTATATTAACTCAGCCCCCATACAATGTGACATACATACAGATGTTAGATATTAAGTTCCAACAAAAGTCGTAGGTTTTGAAGACTGGTCGTAATCCCCCTATTATACTGTCAAATTTGCATTATTTTGAAGATTCTAGACAAAGTATGGTCTGTTAGCACAAAAAATTAATTACTTAATTTACATACCCTCCACCATGGTATGGAGGGTATATTAAGTTTGTTTGTAATATCTCGAAATATACATTTTAGACCCCACATAGTATATAATTCTTGATCACCATAAAATTCTATGTCGATTTAGCAATGTCTGTCCTTCTGTGGAAATTACTTTAGCTTCCGAACGAAATGAAGTAAGTTGATAAAAATTACCCGAATGTGTATTATATCTGCAGGACTTTTGGTATTGAAAATGGGCCATGTAGGTCCACCTCGTATAGGCCTCATATAACGGTACCTCCCGATATGCGGTATTTTGATGATTTGAGCGACATTATTTACCTGAATTGTTCCAAATTTTATATTTGAAGTTCGTAATAGATACTACATCATGAAACATAAAATAGGCCATGTAGGTCCACATCTTCGTATAGCCCCCTTATAACGGTACCTACCGATATTGGCTATTTTGATGATTTAGAGACATTATTTACCGGAGCTATTTCAAATTTGGTATTTGAAGTTCGTAATGAATACTACAGCCTATGACTGAAAATTCTCTGAGCAGTTCCACGTCTTCGTATAGCCCCTTATAACGGTACCTACCGATATTGGGTATTTTGATGATTTTAGAGACATTATTTGCCGGAATTGTTTCAAATTTTTATTTGAAGTTCGCAATGGATACTACAGCCAAAAAAATTGTCTGTGCAGGTCCACGTTTTATAACCCCCATGGTGCCTCCCTATATTCGGTATTTTGATGGTTTAAGCTACATTATAAACAGATTTTTTTTCAAGTTTCGCATTTGAATATAGTAATAGCTTATGACAAAAGTTGCCTATGCAGGTTCCCGTCGGCGTATAGACCCTAATATACGGCTACGGCTAATTTTTAACGGATTTTATTTTTTTGAAAATTGCCAAATTTGTACCAAATGGTGGAAGGTATTCAAAGATCGGCCCGGCTGAACTTACAGCTTTTTACTTGTTTAGCCTTCAAAGGTTTATTTTTATACCCTGAAATCACGAAACATCCACCATTATTTGACGTAGAGCTTCAAAATTTGGTAGAACAATTTGTATTGTGTCTAGGATGGTTGGTATTGCAAATGGGATATATCGGTCCACGTTTTGGTATATCCGCTATATATCGATACCTCACGATATTAGGTATTTTTATGATTTTTCCACGGATTTGTCTAAAAAATGGTATTAGTAGGTCATAATAGATTCTGGCTCCGGCGGCGAAATATTGTATGTATAGGTCCACCTTTTTATATAGCCCCCATACAACGGAACCTCCCGATATTCGGTATTTTGATGATTTTTACCATATTTTTTGAAGGATTGGTGTAAAAATAGGTAATTGCTGATCATAATGGATGCTAGCTCCGATGGCGAAACAATGTAGGTATAGATCGACGTTTTTGTATAACCCCATATAACGGTTTCTCCCGATGTTCAATATTTTGATGATTTTTGAAATATTTTTTCAAGGATTTGTCTAAAAATTGGTATTTATATTATATAATAAGTTCTAGCTCCGGTGACAGAACATTGAATATTTAGGTCCACATTTTTTTATAGCGCACATATAACGATATCCACCGATATTAGGCGTTTTGTTAATCCTATTTACATTTACCCACGAAATTTTTTAAAATTTGGTATTTATGAAGATTTTGTAGATGACAATCTTTGAAGTATAAAATTGTCTATGGAGGTTTCCGTTTTGGTATGGTCCCCATATAACGGCCTTACCCACTTTATGCTGTTTTGAAAGGAAATGGTCTCACTGTAGTTTAAAGTGGAACACGTTTGAATACAGATACTTTTATAAACAGTTGTTTCTTTGCCGAATGTTTTAGGGTATTAAAGGTTCGGCCTGGTCGAAATTTATCTTTTTTTACTTGTTTTTTCCTGAATTTGGTTGAATATGGCATTACAGATTCACCGTCATATTGACTACACCATCCCATTACTTCATTTCCACACGCCCCAAATGTACATACGCGATAATTAACAAAGTATCGTCAAAGAAACTTTATTAAGAGTTTTGATGCCTTTTACAATTACAGCTCATTAATTATGACTCGACCAGAGGTGGTGTTTCGGTGGTTACCGAGAAAGGCGATATAACAACATCGTATTTGCTTTTGCAAAATGCTGATTTGGCCGATTCCGGAAAGTATTCATGTGCTCCGTCGAATGCAGAAATGACTAGCATACGTGTGCATGTACTCAGTGGTAAGTTTTCGATACTTTATTCATGAAAGAAAAAAAACTTTATATCGCAACTCATTTAATTTTAACACTAAATTTCATGGGAAATCAGTTATGACCACCGGGTATTGATATGTGGTATTATGTTGCATTATATAGAATTAGTCAATTTTGTTCGTACTGCTCAAGAAATATACTGTGTAGTAAATATGTGTAAGCTTTAACTGTAGTGCAGGCTGGATATGATTTACAAGTATTTCACATAACATTAATAAGATAAAATTAAAATCATAACGCAGTAGTCATTGAAAGGGGGCGAATATTAAAAAAATAACAAGTAAATCCTTTAGGTTTTGTACTCAAGTGGTGTCATTAAATATGTTTTTATACCCTCCACCATACTATGGATGGTACATTAATTTTGATATTCCGTTTGTTACTCCTTGAAATACTCATGTCAGACCCAACAAAGTATATATATATTCTTGATCAGCGTAAAATTCTAAGACGATTTAGCCATGTCCGTCTGTCTATTCGTCTGTTTGTCCGTCTGTCTGTTGAAATCACGCTATCTTTCGAACGAATTGAGATAGAAGGTTAACATTTTGCACACATATATATTTTGCCAGTAGGCAAGTTAAGTTCGTAAATGGGTCCACGTTATCATATAGCCTCCATATAACGGTACCTACCGATATTCGGTATTTTGATTATTTTAGAGACATTATTCACCGGAATTGTTTCAACTTTGGTATTTAAAGTTCGAAATGGATACTACAGCCTATAACAGAAAATTATCTGTGCAGGTCCACGTCTTCGTATAGCACCCATATAACGGTACCTCCCGATATTCGGTATTTCGATGATTTTTGCGACATTATAAACTGGAATTGTTTCGAATTTGCTATTTGGAGTTCTTAATGAATACTACAGCCTAAGATAGAAAACTGTCTGTGCAGGTCCCCTTCCGATATTCGGTATTTTGATGATGTTAACGACATTATTCACCGGAATTGTGTCAAATTTAGTATTTAAAGTTCGCAATGAATGCTAAATCCTAAGACAGAGAATTGTTTGTGCAGGTTCACGGCTTCGTATAGCCCCTATATAATGGTACCTCCCGATAATCGATATTTTGATGACTGTAGCTACATTATTCACCGATTTCTTTTTTAAGTTTGGCATTTGAATATGGTAATGGTTTATGAAAAAAATTACCTATGCAGGTCCATGTCGTCGTATTGACCCTAATATAACGGCTACATTCGGTATTTCTACGATTTTAACGGATTTTATTGTTTTTGAGAATTGCCAAATTCGTTCTAAATGGTGGAGGGTATTCAAAGTTCTGGCCGGCCGAACTTGCAGCTTTATTACTTGTTTTTTTTTGTTACGAAATTATAGTAATGGTGATTTCATGAAAATACATTTTATCAACATTTTAAAATATTATTTTAATTTCCCATTGGTACACCAGAGGACATAATTATTGTCTCCCTGATTTTTTCAAAACCCAGTCGAATACTTTATACATTTATAATCTAGGAGGATTATTTGAAACAAAAGACCTGATAATCACAACATTTGATTTTAAATTAATTATTTATTATTATGAACACCTAAAAAACGAAAATTGGGGAATGTGTAGTCCAATTATGTATTCCAAAACCATAAGAAAATTCCTTAGTTTTAGTCGCATCCACATAATGGTATAAATTATTGTGTTGTCGCCACGGTCGACATGTGATTTGACAAGCTGAACCCCGGTGCGCTTCAAAACTTATTTTCTGATCGTGTTTGCTGCTTCAAATAAACGAAATCGGTCAAAAATATATATGGGAGCTATATCCAAATCTGTACCGATTTCAATATAATTTGGCATATTTATTTTTGTACCAAATTTAGACACTCATGCCGAATTTCATGTGAAATCGGCCGAAAATATATATGGGAGATGTATCCAAATCTAAACCGATTTCAATATAATTTGACAAATTTATTTTCTGATCAAATCCCCTCACTTACTCCAAATTTCGTTAAAATAGAACATACATATCATGTTTGGTACATCAAATAAACGAAATCGGTCGACAATATATGTGGGAGTTATATCCAAATCTGTACCGATTTCAATATAATTTGACAAATTTATTTTGTACCAAATTTAGTCACTCATGCCGAATTTCATTGGAATCGGGCATACGTATCGTTTTTGGTGCATCAAATGTGTGAAATCGCCCGAAAATATATATGGGAGCTATATCCAAATCTGGACCGATTTTAATACTATATGGCAAATGTATGTTCGTTTTAAGTTCCGTTACATATTTAAAATTTTATTGAAATTAGAGATACGTAGGGTTTTTGGTACATCATATTCATGAAATCACCAGAAAATGTATAAGGGAGCTAATCCAAATCTAAACCGATTTCAATATAATTTGGCAAACAACTTTTTTAGACAAATTCCATCACACATTCCAAATTGCATTTAAATTAATTGCTTAATGCAGCAAATAATTGAAATCTGGACCGATTTCAATATAATTTGGTAAATTTATTTTTGTTCCGAATTCCGTTACACGTTCCAAATTTAAGGGCTGTACCTATAATCAATCAATATATATAAATACATATAAAATCTAAATTTTTGGGAGGTAACTCCGATTCTGATGCTATATCTTCAAATTCAAACAATTTCAAACATTTATATAGCCTGTGTTACTTTTAGGAGATGTTGTAATATACACGGAAATTTTCAAAAAAATCAGTGCATACAAACATTTTTCTTATTTATAGATGTAGATATGTCCCTCCTACGCACTAGCTTGCAGATAAGTTTCACATTTTGTATAGTTCAGATCAGGATTTAGCATAGGGCTAGAGTTTTGGGCTGGGCAAAAGCATTAAATTTTGTTCGGTCATCGGACAATATTTAGCGGGTAAAATCGACTATAAAATTTATGTAAAAAAATACGAAAATTTCCACAAAGCCGAGAATATTTTTAATCCCAGCGAAATCACAAATACATTAAAATGTCACTATTGACCGTTACAGAGATACTGATAGCCAAGATATCGGGTATATAGCAAAACAGAAGCAATCTATTTTTGCCAAGAATTTGTTTTTTGCATGCGATTTTTTCATATTTGAGATACAATTTTGATTTGTACAGTTTTTAATATGTTTTACACCCTGCAACACTATTTGTTGAGGGTATTATATTCATGTCGCAATTATCGTCCGATTCTCACGAAATATTGCATGTAGGTTAGGGTCAGAATAGAATCCTATTATTTTGAAGATGTATATTTAGTTGTTTAAAAGGACCAAAACCGATTTTGGTGTCGCTCTATGGGTAACAATTGAAAACCAATCGACACACAGTTTTGCATGAAGAGGGAGAGAGAGATAAGGGAAAGGGCATTTTGGAAGTTGTTTTTTAAGTGAAATTGTTGAATACCAATCAGCATGAAAGAGTGGGGTAAGTACAGGACAAATGCCCCGGTCAAAGGCCAAAGATAACATTTGTACAGGGTTGTATGGCTTTATTTGAAAAAAAAATCGACTAAAATGGGTTTGGACCTCAGAAGGTTTTCCCATATGTTATAGTGTTGTAGGGTATCACATGGTCGGCCCCGCACGACTATAGCCTTTGTTTACTTGTTTTTTATATAAAATTGTCAACAAAAATTCATAATGTGTTATGGTCCTCATTTCATGGATCCTACCGATTGTAGGTTCAGGATTTGGAATTGAAAGCATAGCTACCTAACCTTTTGACTCATGCATAAAGCTAGATGATCCACAACTAAATGAACCCGCATATTGTCTGTATCCAACCGGAAGTATTAACTCGAACAACTCTTGTTTACAAGGACTGCTCTAACGACCTGTCTAAAGGCTAATTGGTAGATATTGCTGTAATTTATCATCTTTTTCGCGGTCGTCTCGTTTTTTGGCTGAGGACATTTGTTAGCACTCCTAATTTTTATCAAACTTGACCATCATAATTTTTAAGTTATTTATCTTATATACCCAATATAATTCCTACGAATACAGTTTTATCAAAAATGACATCGCCATTTTAGACTGGGTTTTCGAAGGCCAGACAGACTGACCGTCGATGGTTGGATAAGTGTGTTCTGGTATCCAACTCCTTTGAGATATGGATCTTTGAATATTGTGGAATGGTTGTTCTCACACGAGTCATAGTGGGAAAACCCCAAAATATTCTCCACCCAAGCGTTAAAGAAGAAGAATTCCAGTCAAACACTTTCGTCTTCGTCAAAGTAATTAGAGGAATAATACATGCTGATCATCGGTATAAGATTGAGAATGAGAACGACATACACTTTTATTTTAAACAAATAAAAGTGTTCACATGAAACATACACACCCATATGACCTTCATACATTCTCTGCTAATCTTAATTATCTATAGTTTTTTATTCCCATCATTACATACAATAATATTTTTTTTTTCAATTTCAAATTATAACACATAAATGGTGATTGCACAAGTTATATCATTAATCTGCCATCAGTACACCGACTTTAAGATATGGTGAATATGTTTTAATACTAAGGTGTTCATTACATTTTACTGCCAAATAACTAAAGTTGGTAACAACAACAAACAACACATCTTAAGAACTTTAAATACAACGTTAATTTCCCCAGAGATAAAGGCAAAGTTTCAAAGCTCTTATTAAGTTGGTTCCTTTCGATAGTCTGTTATCATAGACCTATTAAAATTTGCAATGAATATAAAATGGGGGAAAGTTTAAAAACAGAAAAATTTATTTTAATTTTTTATCAGCGCTAAATGAATGTATTTCTATAAAAAAAAAACTGGAAATATATATAAAAAAAATTAAACCTCTTATTCCAATTAAACACATAAACATTTACGAAAAATGATTTCAGAATTATATTTTCCAAACCAAAGTCCCAAAATTTTCTGTTACCGGTTTATTATTTCTAAATGTTGTTTTATGAACCAAAGAATCCAAACAATAAAGGGTAAGAAAATTAGAAAATGTTGGCGAAAATTGAATCTGCTTGAACTGCTACTGAGTGTATATATAACTTTTGATGTTGCCAAACGTGTTCTTCGAAACAACGGTTATAGGCCTTAAATGGCCAAATCCGTTTCAAAACATATGGGTTCGATCTAGGGGTGTCCGTTTGTACATATCTCCGTCTGTCTGGCTGGTGCACACGATAACTTTCGAAGGAAGTATCCGATTTGGCCCAAACCTGGTACATCGTAATCTTATTGTCAAACATAGATCGTGTTCGGAGATGGTCAGTATCGGTTATCTCCTTAAGGTACTTACCTCACAAAGGTAGGAATTTTCAAAAAAAAAAAATTATACTCCAAAGAAAGAGAAAGGAACACCCTATTTTGCTCCAATTTTGCAAATTCTAATATTTGCATCAGTGATAGGTCAAGTGCAAAAATGGACAATATCGAGCAATTCCATCAAGTACCTCCCCCACAACGGGTGAAAATTTTGAATAATCAACTTCGCATATCCAAATACTTCTGAAAATACAAGATCAGGTGTCTGGTACCTCCCTTTGTATGGGCCATCATTTCCAATAACCAAATCGCTAATAGAAAGGGAAATTATCATCCGTTTCCTTTTAAATTTTACAGATCTCTATATTTATTTTAACATAAGATCTGCTGTGAAGATACTCCATCTTCACTTTTTCCAGTTTTTTCTGGCACCTTCCATACAAAGGGTCAGTAATTTGAATAGCCTTTAAGCTCATAAAACGCGAGATGAACATCCGACCAATTTTCAAACTCGGCATATCCCATATTTCTATGGTACATTCTACCCGCTGTCCTAAACTCTAACTTCATGCGAGATTTTGTGTTCTTTGGTTTCTATTTGACACCTTTATAACGGCAGCAAAATCAGGAAAATTTTTAGTTGTTGGTCCATTTCAACCCCTATATATATTGCGGACATCTTTAAAAGCAATAGGCCTAGCCCTTCCGAGCCTAACCCTACACTTACGAAAATTTTCGTGAGGAGAAATCTGCATATAATAACCCCAACCTGTGTTGTAAGGCGAGGAAATATTTCAAAATATCCACTCCATATGTGGGAAACCAATATTTCAAGGTGTTACATAAATTTTGGCCCAATCAAACTTATAATACCCCAACACATAGTGTTGTAGGGTAAAGTGACTAGAAGTGTCACCACCTATACAATATTGAGAGTTGGTTAAGGGCAAAATTGGAAAAATTTGTCCCGAAAACACTACAAATTCGCCGACTTTAGAGTCCTGATATAGTCCACTTCTTCTTCTTCTTTTTGAAAATGTTTAAATTTCAATTGTATATTAAGGCCATGTCGGGGATCCCTTCGCACTACATGGCATGCAAAAAATATACCCGTAATGATCATCTGCGTGACGCTGTGATTACTGTCAGATGGATATGGCTAAAATAACTTCCAAAATGGGCAGGACTTGATACTCAATACTTATTGCATTTATCACCAATATTTATACCCTCAGCCATATGGCTACAGAGGGTATGTATCATTTGATACGGCCAAAACGTGCCTAGTCGAAATAATGGTTTTAGACCCTAGGTCTCTTTGGACCAAATCCGTTTCAGAACATTTGGAGTCGATCTACCGATGTCCGTCCGTCCGTCCGTCTGTCTGTCTGTCTGTCTGGCTGGCTGGTGCGCACGATAACTCTCGAAGGGAGTATCCGATTTGATTCAAACTTGGTACATCGTAATATTTTTGTCAAACTTAGATCGAGTTCGGAGATGAGCAATATCGGCTCACTCCTTCTGGTACCTCCCACACAAAATTTCAAAATTTCCAAAGAAAATAATTTATTGCACAGAAAGAGAAAGGATAATCCGATTTTGTTCGAACTTTGCGAATCCTCATATTTCCATCAGTGCTAGGCCATGTGCGAAAATGGACAATATCGGTCCACTCCATCAGGGACCTCCCCCACAAAGGGTCAAAATTTTAAATAATTAAAGCTCTTATAAAATGTGATGTAAGAGTCCCGTAGTGTTCAAATTCTACACACCCCAATAATTTTTTTAGCCCAAGGTCTGGTGCAAAAACGAAATTTATCGGTCCACTCCTTCTGGTACCTCCCCCACAAAATGTCGAAATTTTAAAAAAAATATTTTTTGCACAAAAAGAGAAACCATAATCCGATTTTGCTCGAACTTTGCAAATCCTCATATTTTCATCAATGCTAGTTCTTTTGTGAAAATGAACAATATCGGTCCACTCCATCTAGTACCTCCCCCACAAAGGGTCAACATTTTGAATAATTATTATAACTCTTAAATAATGCGGTGTAAGGATCCGAACGTCTTCAAATTTCACACATTTCAATATTTTTATAAACCCAAGATCTGGTGTTAACATGGGATGTATCTGTCCACTCCTTCTGGTACCTCCCCCACAAAGTGTAGAGATTTTGAATACCCATGAAGCAGATAAAACGCCAAATTAACATCCGATTCCATTTAGACTTGGCACATATTTCTATCAACACAAGATCTGTTATAAAGATTGAACAATTTCTTCTCCCCCATATATAGGGTTCAAGATTTTGAAAAACAAAACACTCAAATAAAGCGAAATAAATATCCAACTCTCTTCAAATTTCACACACACAAATATTTTTGCTAACACAAAATCTGTTGTGAAGTTGATATATATATGCCAACCCCTTCTGGGGTCACAATTTTCAATAATATATATGTTATAACTTTCGAAATAATTTAGCAACACTTTACTACTTGCTATGTCAAATATTTCTCTCAATAAAAAGCCCGATATGGATATGAAATTTATCGGTATTTACGATTTCGCATAAAGTTGGACATAAATATCCTTTCTTGTAATTTTGCCCAATATTTCGCTCAATATTTTTTATTTGTATCATGAAGTATAAAAGTGGAATATTTCGGTAGTCTCTATCTTGTAAATAACGCACATTTTAACACTTTCTAAAAATTATTACATATCTCATATAAAGTGAAGGAGTGAGTCGATCCATACCAGGAACGTCGGAATATTTATATCATATTTTTGGGTCCGATACGAAATGGACAATATTGGCCCATTCCTTCGGAACCTGCTCCATAGAGGGTCAAACGTTTGAATAATTGTAACACTAGTCAAATTATATTTAAATAATTGAACACAAGCTGAGGGTATATATCTGTCGGCAATACCGACTGATACTTTTTAACTTGTTTAGTTTAAAATCCATCTGAACTTAATTAGTAAGATAATATGTGCGAAATCATATTTTTACCTCCGAATTTCATTACAATCGCTTTTTTACTTACACCAAATGTTTCACATTAACACATTTTTTTCTCTTTTTTATTATTTATTCTCATTACAGGTGAGCATCCCGAAGCAATGCAAACAGGGTCATCTGGCAATCAACATTCGTGGCTAACTATAATTATTTTAATAACTCACATTTTGTTTTGCAAACAGCATTCAATGAGTTGCATTAAGACCGCTAAACAGCGCAACGATGCCCACCCCACCATGGCAAAACAACAAATTTACCAACGATCTACGACAGCTACAACAGCAACCACAGCAACAGAGCTAACGGAGGGGTTTAAGACCGCAGAATTACTAAATTACCCGCCAGGTTGTTGTGTATTACACCGTGAAAGGATTTTATGCTGACGGCATTGCCAGCGGTGCGACCCCCCACAGGGAAACCTTACTTTAGATTTGTTATTTTTATTATTAAAGGAAAATAGGTGTTAAGTGGTTTTTAATTTTCCCTCGAAATAATTTGTTTGTGATAATCTGGTATGAATGGGAAAAAAATCCTTGTATTTAAGCTACCATATAAGCTCGCATACATACATGCATACCCACAATAAATGTATATGTATGTGCGGAAAATCGTAAATATAAAACGAACAAATAACGCCATAAATAATATCTTTGTATGTATTGAATGTATAACTTTTTATTCGAACGAAATAATTGAAGGTTGATGTTGTGTCGTTCAACAATCAAATGACAATGCCACGTAACATTGTATTGTAAATATGTAGTATGGAAGTAACATCGTCTTTTTTCACAAATTATATCCGTAATATTATGTATGTATTTTATAAGTATGTAAATATGTTGCGTGTTGCGAAAATAAAGCAAAGAAACAAGTTTCGAAATTAATTAACGCCAAAAATGAAATTGAGTTTTTATTCCGTAATTTTGAAAAAAGGTAAGAGCAAAAGATGGTGTAAAACAAATATTTTAGTAAAATATACTGTATTTTACAACCAGTAAAGAAAGACTTAAAGTCGGGCGGGTCGACTTTATGATACCCTACACCACTTTGCTAATTTAGTAGAGCTCCACATAACATATAAAAGTTTTTATGGGAGAATTCAATCATGCACGCTATGATTATAATTATAATTTAAAGTTCAAAGGACTAAATATGCCGAAGCATTTGTATCTTTTAAATTCGGACTTGTATTGCCCATTTGGTGCAAAATAATTTGAAATCAGATAAAGATATATATATATATATATATAAATCTGAACCGATCTGGATAAAATTTGGCAAAAATATTTCTGAGCTATATTACTTGTTTTTCCCTGAATATCGTTGTTACGGAGTGCATATTACGGCTGTGGGTAATAAATATAACAAATCGGATGAACAATATATATGGGAGCTATATCTGGACCGATCTTCACCAAATTTGACATACTAGCTTCTAGGCTCAATTCGGTCGTAAGTGCCAAATTTCATCGCATTTGGGCAAATATTAGACGTTTGGTGCACAATAAAAGGTAAATCGGACGAAGTTATATAAGGGAGATATATCCAAATCCGAACCGATCTCGATAAAATTTAGCAAAGGTATTTCTGAGCTGTATTTGAAATATTTCCCCAAATATTATTGTTACAGAGTGCATATTACGGCTGCGGAGGACTTAAATAACAAATCGGATGAACAATATATATTGGAGCTATAGCTATATCTGAACCGATTTCGATCAAATTTGGCTTACTTATTTTCAGGCCTAATTTGGTAGTATGTGCAAAATTCCATACTATTCGGGCTGATATTACACGTTTAGTGCACAATAAGTGCAAATCGGACGAAAATATATATGGAAGCTATGTCTAATTTTTTACCGATTATCTCCAATTTCAATAGAGTTCGTCCTTGGGCCAAACAAATGTTGTTTGGAAATTTTCATCTCAATCGGATAATAAATGCGACCTGCACTTTGTTCACAAAAATACATGGACAGACGGTCGGACGGAAGGACAGACATGCATAAATCGACTCAGAATGTGATTCTATGTAGATCATCAAACGGAACTATGGGTCTATCTCGATTCCTTTTGCCTGTTACAAACAAATGCACAAAGACATAATATCCTGACCACCTTGTGGTGTAGGGTATACAAATCAAGATCTGAAGGAAAAAAATGGGGAAATGCTATGAGATGTGTCCTTCTAAAAACTCCACAATAAAAACACTGTGCAAAGCGGGAAAAAATGGCATGAAGTTTTCTATTCCTAAAAAATCGAAACGCAATTTATAGCCTGGTAGTGTCTTGTCTTTGATACAGACTAGGTTAATTAGGTATTTATTCAATGCTGGTCTTATCGGTCCACGTTGTTGCAAAGTTCTTATTGGGTTTATAGTGGTACCTCTAATATTTATGCCACTGAGAGAATATATCGTTTGAAATAATAACCAGTAAGGATCTATATAAGATGGACCATATTGGTCCATCTCTTTCTAGTATCTCCCCGCTCCAATATTGTGAAGTTAGTATATGCATTCCTTAAATCTCCTTCAGCCAATAAAACAAAACTTTTTAAAACAAAATCTGGGAAAACTTTCTTTAACAAAATAATGGTAGAAAAGGTTGTTTTTTAGAATTAACTTCCATTAACTTCCATTGTGCAACATTCCTCTTTTTAACTTTATCGGCTGCTGGTATTGAACTTGCAACCTTATGATTTGAATTTAAACACATTATACACTGTGCCACGGCTACGAACATTGGGGTTTATTTCTAAATCAAAATCTTATTTAAATATATTTTTTTTATTTGTTGAAGCCACGCTCCTTGAGCTCCTTGCCTTCAGTTTTAAGTCGACGCGGAAACTCTGCACCAATTATAAAATTCCTCTCATATAGAAACCTTTAAATGGGGGCTAGAAGAAGACATGGTCCTACAACGAACTTCAAATTGGAAACAATTACGGTGAATAATGTAGCTAATGTAATCAAATTACAAACAATTCCGTTAAAAAAAATATCGCGAAAATCATTAAAATATCGAAAAGTTAGAGCTACAGTTATATGTGGGCTATACGAAGACGTGGACCTTCATAGACAATTTTCCGTAATAGGTTGTAATACTGTTACCGTAGACCGGCATAACCCATTTACGAGCTTAACTTGTCTACTGTGCACAATTTTTGCCTTCTATCCCAATTTGGATAGACAGACGGTCATCGCTAGACTTATAATTTCACACTGATCAAAAATATACAGGGTGAGATAAAAAAAAACTGCAACAAAGTCAACCGCCATAATTTTTACATTTCTTTAAATTATATTGAATGAATGTTGAATGTCGGAAATAGCATGAAATTTTAGAATAAGTTTAGATTTGTTCGAATTGGTCACATTTGGCATGAATTATGGCTTTCAATCGGCCATTGAAACCGTCACACGCTACCCGAATGTTGCTTTGCGGTATTTTGGCCAATTCCCGGCAAATCGCTTGTGCGCTGGAAATGAAGCGAGGAACCTCATTTTTTAACCATTCTTGGGTGACGCGTACTGAGTGCGATAGTGCTGAGTCCTGTTGGAATGTCCAACTTTAATACACCCTCCAGAATATTTTCGCGATAATATTCGGCATTTATTCTGATGCCACGGTCGATTAATACGAGCGGAGAGCGACCATCGGCTGTTTATACCCTACACCACAAGGTGGTCAGGGTATTATGTCTTTGTGCATTTGTTTTTAATAGCAAAAGGAAATGAGATAAACCCATATTTCCCGTTGATGATCTGCATGGAATCACATTCTGAGTCGATTTATGCATGTCCGTCCGTCTATAGCTCCCATATATACTGTTTTTCCGATTTGTTATTTTTGTAATATGCAGTGCAACAACAATTTTCAGGGAAATATATCAAATACAGCTCAGAAATATCTTTGCCAAACGTTATCGAGATCGGTACAGATTTGGATATAGCTCCAATATCGGATTATCCGATTTCAAGTTAATTGTGCACCAAATGGGGAATACAAGTCCTAATTTAAAAGATACAAATGCTTCGGCATATTTAGGCCTTTGAACTTTAAATTATAATTATAATCACAGCGTGTATGATTAAATTCTCCCATGAAAAGTTTAATATGTTATGTGGAGCTCTACTAAATAAGCAAAGTGCTGTAAGCAGTTGACATCGACAAGACGACGTGCCACGCATATGGGTATCAGTCCGTACAAAGTCCATGTGGTTCATCAGCTGTTAGCTGCTGACATCAAATTGAGTCTAACATACGCTCAAGCCATCCTTAATCACCACCAAGAAGGAGATGATTTTTCATCAAAATTAATCATAATCATCATGATAGGCCAATTTCTATCCCAGCGGGTACGTAAATAAGCGAAATTTACGCTTATTTTGCACTGAAAATCCACATGTAACCCACGAAGAGCCATTACACCCTCTCAAAATGACTGTATAGTGTGCTTCGTCATCGGTTATTTTTTCTTCGAAGACATCGTGGGCCAAATGGTTACTGTGAATGGTGAGCGCTACAAAGCAATGATCAACCAATTCTTTTTGCCGAAACTTAATGAGTTAAGATTGGAAAATATGTAGTTCCAACAGAACGGTGCAACGACACACACTGCAGGTGCCATAATCGATATGCTGAAGAATGCATTTTTCCGGGAGCCTAATGTCCCGTTTTGGCGATTTGCACTGGTCAGCAAGATTGCCTTATTTGACGCCTCCAGAATCCTTTTTGTGGGTTTTTTTGAAGTCGCAGGTTTATGTCAACAAGCCTTAAACCCTTTCAGCTCTTAACGACAATATCCGTTACGAATGTGTGGACCTATCGCCGGAAGTTTTGGACAAAGTGATAAAAAATTCAATAAAAGTACTCAAATGACAATAAACTGTGGCGGCGGCCATTTGCATGACATCATATTCTATTCTCGATGTGAGGTAAAAAGAAAAAACTAAAAAATCAAATAAAAGTAAAAAATCAAATAAATTTTTTTTTTTTTTAATAACAGCCAACAAACATCGCAGGATTCCTTTTGCGCCACCTTGCATTACAATATACCAGTTCGTTCGGATATGTTTATGAAAATTATCATACTTTTAATGTACATTTTATTAACGAATATATCATACAGACTAACCTTGGGGCTAGTTCGATTTGGTCATAGTTCTTGATTATTTTATGATTTACCGTGCTAAACCTCACGTCTTTATATCAAAAGCTTTGTTCGTTTAAAATTTTAACATTCCAGCTTCCGCTGTTTATAAATCTTGAAGTCAGTCAATCAACTAACTCTTTCATATGCAAATAAACACTCTGTTGCATATCTCAAAACTTTCCTGATCTTCAAACCAAACACAACATACTCTTGTTCGTATCAAACCAGTATATCCCACTGTGGAACATTTCATCGAATTATGGATATTTAAGAAGGGATATTTTCGCACATAAAATATTCGAATACAAAAGTACATTTCAAGAGAAACATATCTAGCATAGCTCTTTATTCATGCTCTCAAAATGAATGCGCAGACATTGTTAACAGTCATTTCGAAATGACACAAATATGGGTGCTATAAAAGAGAGCACACAAAAACAGACAGATTTTATTGAGAGCGACACTCTCTCTCTCTCTCTGCCATAAAATCAAAATTTGAAAAACTTAAATAAATTTCACAAAGCCATAAAGGATTAAACTTCTACTCACATATTGACAATTAAACAAAAAGGAAACTTTCGATGTGTCAGTATCAGTATTCATGAATATGCCGGAGACCACAAGACAAATAGATGCGGAATGTAACAGGAGTCTTGTAACAAAGTAAAACATGAAAGATAAACACGAGCAGAAATTAAGTTGTGGATGTGTCACAAATGTTCGCGGTGACCAC